ACGGAGCGGCCTGACCTTACCGCCTTGTGGGGCCACCCCCCGTTAGCTATCTTATCCCCGTCTATCGTTCTCTCATCCTGGTACCCAGTGCATCCTACCTAGCTGTTCGCCTCGCAAAGTGCTCGTCCGCCTCGAGAGGTGGCTTCAGTCTCTTGTCAAGACCAACAGTTTCTTCTGTGCAGTGGATTCACCTTATTTACAGCTTCCGGATTATCGACATTCAAATGATATCATCACGAACCAAAACCATGATCATAGCTGCATTACGACGGTCAAGGCCCCCGTATAATGCTGACAGCATTAAAGGAATCGTGCCGCGGGAACCACTACTTGCACCAATCTTGAATCCTAGTCATGAAACATGTCAAGTGGGTGATTCCGACTATGGAACTACCTAAAAGATCAACAAAATCAAATCCATCGGCAAGTGTTCACGCATGTAACAGACTCTCGAGTTATCATTACTAGAAAGAGTAAAAACATAACGACAAAAAGTGACAAGTTATGGACCGGAGGGCGAAGGACGGCAGGAAGGCGCAGAGCCGAGAGCGGTATGACATGGAAAGAAGAACGCGCGGCTCCCTTGGGCCGGCTCCGCGTACCCAGGCGAACCGCACGTGAGTAGCATCGGGTCAGACAAAAGCGAAGCGATTTTCGGCGAGTTGGAGATCACAAATCGGCTGAGACAAATCGATCGATGGAATAGGATGGAAGTAGAAGTGTAAGATGTGAATGCAACGAAGCAGAAGGCCAGAAAGAGCTTCTAGTGAATGCACTCCAAGAACCAAGTTTGAGCATCCCCGTCGCCAGCATTCGTGAAAGACGTCCGTGGGCAATTCGAACGCGTAGCAGCCTTTTTCTGAGTTTCTCTCGAAAATCCTTCTATACGCAAAAACGAAAGCAAATACTTTCGGTTCCTTTCAAAAACTGACTTATCGTGGATAAATGAGTTCTCAACGCCTAGTGACTTTGTGGTCTGAAATATTGGGTTGGCAACGTGAAATAGTTCATCCGCTCGACAATCTCTTCAAAGTTTTTTGTTTTTTGATTTTATGCTTTTGTTTACCAACTCCTGACCCGAGGGTCTTAAATTAACATCTACCAATGGAGTGGTCTCTTCCGCTTGTCTTTCCACGCTTCGAAAAAGTAGTTCGTCTGATGGTCTTCCTATTGTCAAAACGTCTGGGTTGAGAAAGGCGGCGTACACTCACTTAATAACGAGAAATGGAGTGAGTCGTCTATTATTTTTGGTCGTTCTATCGAGATGAAGTAGTCTTCCAATTCGCATTGGATGCGGGTTGAGTCATTCACATAGCTCCGACGCAGGGGACTGGACGAGCTAGAGAGGTAAGAAATCTTGCCACAGGTCCAGAATTTCTTACCGGGCCCATTTCGGATCATGGTGATTCGCAATGTCATGAAAGAAATAAATATTGTCGCGGTACGAGGGCTCTTGACGAGCTGCCTCGACCAACTTCTGGAGTTTGCGCAGCATAGACCTCTACCTACACAATGGTGCCCATAGCGAAGAATTTGTAAATGACCTTCTGTACGAGGCCGCTTCCCCCACCGACATGTTAATACTGGACGTGGTGTGGGACAGCATGTAAAAATACTCGGCTCAAACCTTCATATGAACATATTAATATCCGAAATATCGAAGCCCGCTGCTAAAGCGAAACTAGCGGACTAACAATACTGTAACGCGGTGCATCCGACATGCACTGTCCGGAGCCGAACTTGCAGATAGTTTTGGTCTTTGACTATGTTCAGCTCTTAAGACCCGAATCCACAGTTACTGGAAGACACATTTGTACTAGGACAGCCTGACTGGGGCACACAGCTGTGAAGTTTTTGACCCCATCTCAGTGCGGGCGGGGGTTGTTTGCAATTATCTGGTTAATTTCCAACACTACGCATTCGTTACTGAGGCAACGCAGATCAATGCCTGCCGCCTATCTTGTTGATAAGCAACATGAGAATTTAACTATTCGAGGAAGAAAAAACAGACCACAATTTCTTAGTCGATAAATGGTACGGTAAAAGATTCGACACAATAATAGTGAAGGAAAATTTTAGCGAAGAATGTCGCAGAAACTCTCTTCAACTCTAAAAAAAATCTATGATATTTTTCCTCCTGCGTTAAAGATTCCTTTAAAGCGGTGCGGAGGAAAAGCCTCAATGTGCCACGCCATCCACAAAAGACTTTTGAAGAACATCCGGTTTTGTGATATAGGAAGACTGAAAGAAAAACATATTGTAAATATGGATCAAATCTGCCCTCAAAACCTCCAAATAGTAACATGACTTCGAATTACACAAACATAATAAAGACAACTCGTGACTTTTAACCACATGCATAAATGGATTGTTATGCAATCAGAAAAGCCCTCACAGCCCCCATCCCCCCGTTTACTAGAAATGGGTGTACCGCAAGAGGCCCATCGCGCGGCGAAGGAAGAGACGCAGACGCGGCAAAGGAGGGGTCGCAGCGCGTACTGTGCGATATGAGACGTAGTATATAACACTCTTATTTAAAGCAACAATCCAGGAACGAATTCGCGGGTAAGGACCACCTATAATGACGTTGCAGGTGAGAAGTTGGTCAATGGAGAAAGAAAAAGTAGAAAAAAACGTCGGGCAGGGGCTTAGACAGGGACTCCCCCTGCCGTTTAGGGAGACGTGTGTTGGACGAGTTGTCCGAACCTGCCCGTAGTACATGCGCTCCAATTGCAACTGCTGGCAAATAGCCATGCATGCTTGCAAATACATAACTATTTGCCAGCAATCGAAATTGAAGCGCTTCAATTGCGTTCTTATGGAATCGACCTCATACAGCGCGGCGGTCCCGCAACGACCGCTAGTCGAGCAAGCGCTCTGCACAGCTGCTTGGAGGCGGCCCCACCACGGATCGGTGGATCCGCCCCTCTTGAGGATTTCGACTGCTTCCAACGCCTTTCAGAGGTAGTTTTGAAGTTTGTGACATTTCCCATGAACTCCAATCAGGCTGAGGCATGTTTCCACCACTTGAAAACCAAATGGTTGAAACCCTGCCTGGACTGTTGCTTTAACCTGACGCCTAACCGCTACAGTATGCGCTGCGACTCGTCCTTTGCCGCGTCTGCGTCTCTTCCTTCGCCGCGCGATGGGCCTCTTGGGGGACACCCATTAGAAACTGATCCTACGAGGAGTTAGGATCACGGTGTTTTCAGCAGTGGTTCGTGCATCAAAAGTGGACCGTCGAGACGAATCCGGCGACATTGTGAGAACATTGGCAAACGAGCTCACGGAACAGAGCCAACCCGATCTGCACGAATTGGGGACTATGCGGTGCCCGGCAGGGAAGAAAATCAGGTCAGCCAATAAGAATCAGACGGGGTGGCAAAGACGGGAATACATGAAAAAAGTCGTGGGTACTGTAAAGTGAATAAGCATCGTGGGCAGAGTATTTTTAACAATCTTGCAACATATTGTAGATGTTTTTGTACGGAATTTTGGGAATTCTAGGTGAATAAAGAAGGAAATGCTATTAAACTGAGCTCTTGACTATGGACATGAGATCAATTTCAGCAAAATCATCTAGGGCGGTAGTAAACCTCCCTCAACTCAGAGGGTCGTTTTTAGTTCAGATAAAAGTCTTGATTTGCTAAAACGTCTAAAGCACTGCCCAACACATTAACTCACTTTAATCCCATAGCAATATTAAGATCGAAAAACCCATTTCAAGTGGGACTTAGAGAGGTAACTTCTACAGCTAATTCGTAAAAAAAAGACCACGGGATTGAGAAGACGCAGACTCCACGATTTTGCCACGACTCGAAAATCGGAATAGCTCACGGCAGGTCAGGTCAATACAAAATTCAACTCCGCACCATGAGCGTGTCATAGGCGGCGCCGTTTGTCACTAATCTAAATATAATCAGTATCAATGGTCCATTTGTAAATGTGCCAACGGGGGAGGATCTTAAGCCCGCGGAGGGCCGTAAGAGTCGCACTGAATGGCCGATATCAAGCTTCGCGAATCGACCGATTCTCTACTAGCTATTCGCTAGCGTCCGCGGTCGCGTTGCGTTACCAGCCAATTGAGCGATCCGCTACCCAAGACCGCAACCGCGAGAGGCTGACATCGTCCATTAGCAGCGAGAATCGTGGAGATCTCTCTACTAATCATCGATGTTGGTGCAAGCCGCAGCAGGTAAGTTTCAAGTCCTTCGCTAATTTCCAATTCACACTACTTCCACCCATCACAATTTCACAATAATAGCAACTTGAGTAAGAGAATCTAAGGATACTCACCTCGTTTCGCAGCGACGGCTCCTCGATGTCATTTACTTCGGCAGAAACGAATCCGCTTTTGAGAGGTGTCTTGTC